TCCATCTCATGCTCTCACTCCTGATACTTCCGTCTCCTACTTGGCTCCTGAAACTCCTATCTCCCGTTCCTGACATCTCTATCTCCTGCTCCATTCCTGACACCTCCTTCTCTCGTTCTGCTCCTGACCCCCACTTGCCCCATTCCGCTCCTGATCCCACTTCTCTAACTGCGAGAAATATGCCCCCTTTACCCCACTCACTGTCAGAGTGGGAGAACTGTTCCACATTTTTGAAGAAGCCTTAATTGCAATCTCCTCTCAAAAATGCATAGCTCCCACCTTTCGTAAATATTTATGTTCCCACCATTGCTTTTCTTTCGTGATCTCTCTCTATCCTGACAAGTTTGTTGTGTGGCACTTACTGAAGTCCATGCAAGCCTTGCCCTCATCAACCCTCTCTGTTACCTCTTCAGAAAGCTCCAGCAAGTTAGTTAGACTTGATTGTCCCTTAACAAATCCAAATTGATTCTTCCAAATCAATCCACATGACAGCTCCCCTACTGAGCTCCTCTTTCTTACACAATCTTAGGGTCATGGTAGGATGCTACACGATTATATTAGACTTTTAATAAACCACCAGCAAAATGACAAGGTTTCACCTGAAATCCAAAGTCTCTGAGTGGTTTGTGGTTCATTCCAAACCTGGCCAGAAAATCCAATTCATGAACACACGAATGTAAGGATTAAAATGTAGCAAAGATGTCAATGCCAGTTTCTCTTTGCTGGCTATCAGCATAATAAAAGTATCACTAATTGTAATGAAAAACTTCATATCAATCTGTGCTGAGGATTACAGTAGTTGAACAGTTGCTTGATAGGCCTGACACTGAATATTCCTGAAAGGAAAGACAAATTGCCAAAGCTTTTAGTCTTGCAACCATCAGGACAAAAGCAAGAATGCTAGATTTCAAACGATCATAACAGTTTATAACATAGAAGAAAAGGATGTTAATCGCTGGCAAGCCGACACTAATTGGTTCAGGTATTGCCACAGAGAATGCAACAGAAAACAAAGGTCTCTCTAAACTCCTAGTTAATTCAAAAAGGCCCAAGTCTAGACCATTATTTGTTTGTTTGTAGAGAACGGACCCGTGAATGAATGTAGGCACTGCTAGCCAGTTTAAATGAAGTAATTTATAAGCTAAACTGATAATCTTAAATTGATTGTTAGTGTCAATATTAGCCCAATCTGATTGTTCGCCAAGTGTTGTCCAGTTGTGGAATCACATTTAAAAGTAGATGTTTTGATTTTGATTTTGATTTTGCAAATGCAGTTGGAATGTCTAGCACCATAATAGCAGTGATGGGCCCAATGACCTCCTTCTGTTGTGCAGTTTCTATGACCCATTGGCTTTTAACTTCACTACACTACACTTGATTGGAAGTTTGTTCCATGTCTGATTACCATGTGTGTGAAAAATGCCATGGGGGTTAATATTATATTACAATTTGGCCATTTTAAATCTACTCCCATTGTTATTTTTGAAAAACTATAATATTTATGAATGTGTGCACCTGCGAATAGGATCATCTCTTAGTTGCTTCTGTTCAAGATTGATAAATTTGGGTTTTATTCAGGGAGTGAAACTTGGGGCAAGTACCTTACACTTGACTGACTTACCCCATTGTCATTAAGCAGCCTTTGAGTGTTCAATCTTCTAAGGATGGGCCTTCTGCTCCCATTGGAGGGGGCATCCTGTCTTCAGTCAAGAAAACAGCTGCAGATCTCTTGATCTAGCCAGAAGTGGTGGCCTCTATTGGAATTGCAGCCAGCCCTGGCAAAAGAGGTGCCAGGAACCTGGGTGAAGGTCAGTTAGGGGTCTCACTGGGGGCCAGGCTGGCAGGCACTGGTCGGGGAACAACAGACAGGGTGGGGCATGTGACGAATAGAAAGGAAAGGGGGTGTGTGGAATAACTTAGAGCCAGAGAATGTGTGGATGCGCACAGGGTCCTGAAACAAGAATTACACCACTCCCCCGACTGCAACACACACACCTACCCTCCTGTGCTGACATACTCCCAGCCCAACCTCCTCTCCAGTGTGGGTACAAACCCAGCAGCAGTGAGAGCTGGCTGCGAAGTGGCCATCAGTCAGTGCCTCAATTGGCCCACCAGCTTACAAGTTCTCATCACTGCTGAACAGAACTGACAGCAGTGAACACGCATAATCTTCGATTAAGACCATAAGTTCATAAGACATAGGAGCAGAAATTAGGCCAATCAGCCCATTGAGTCTGCTCCACCATTCAATCATGGCTGATAAGCTTCTCAACCCCATTCTCCTGTTTTCTCCCCATAACCCTTGATCCCCTTGATAATCAAGAACCTGTCCATCTCAGTCTTAAATGTACTCAATGACCTGGCCCCCACAGCCTTCTGTGGCAGTGAATTCCATAGATTCACCACTCTCTGGCTGAAGAAGTTTCTCCTTATCTCTGTTCTAAAAGGTCTTCCCTTTACTCTAAGGCTGTGCCCTCGGGTCCTAGACTCTCCTACCAATGGAAGCATCTTCCCAACATCCATTTTGTCCAGGCCATTCAGTATTCTGTATGTTTCAATTAGATCTCCCCTCATTCTTCCAAACTGCATTGAGTATAGACCCAGAGTCCTCAAGCGTTCCTCATATGTTAAGCTTTTCATTCCTGGAACCATTCTCGTGAACCTCCTCTGAACCTGCTCCAGGTCCAGTACATCTTTGCTGAGTTATGGGGCTCAAAACTGCACACAATACTCCAAATGTGGCCTGACCAGAGCGTTATAGAGCTTCAGAAGTACATCCCTGTTTTTGTATTCATGTCCTGTCAAAATAAAAGCCAAAGTTGCATTTGCCTTCCTAACTACTGACTCAACCTGCAAGTTTACCTTGAGAGTATCCTGGACTAGAACTCCCAAGTGTCTTTGCATTTCAGACTTCTGTATTTTTTCCCATTTAGAAAATAGTCCATGCTTTTATTCTTCTTATCAAAGTGCATAGCCTCACACTTTCCCACATTGTACTCCATCTGCCACTTCTTTGCCCACTCTCCTAATCTGTCCAAATCCTTCTGCTGCCTCCCTGCCTCCTCAATACGACCTGTCTGCTCTCAGTTCCTTCATCTCGATCATTAATGTATAAAGTGAAAAGTTGTGGTCCCAACACTGACCCTTGTGGAACACCACTTGAGAGAGTTTGGTGAAATCTACACTCCACCCTTCATCCTATCTTGCCCCAGGGGGTGGGTGAGTGAGGGAAAGACAATCCATGAGTTCTGAGCCACAAAGGAACTGAAATTTGAATAATTAAATAAATCTGGAATAAAATTCTAGTGGTGACCCTATAATCACAGGATGGCAGGAGAATCCTATTCGCTTTACTGATGAAGAAGTGACCCTTTAGAACTGAGATGAGGAGGAATTTCTTCAGCCAGAGGGTGGTGAATCTGTGGAACTGATTGCCACACAAGGCTATGGAGGAGAAGTCATCGAATGATTTAAGACAGAGATAGTGAGGTTCTTGATTGGTAAGTGGGTCAGAGGTTACGGGGAGAAGGCAGGAGAATTGAGAAATGTACCAGCCACGATTGAATGGTGGGGTGGAATCGATTGGCCAAGTGGCCTAATTCTGCTCCTGTATCTTACGGTCGTATGTCCTTTAAAGAAAAGAATCTGCCAAGCAGACCAAACAACTGTCTCTTTACTACTCTCTGAAATAGCTGAGGGAGGCAATCAGTTGTCACAAAGATGGGTCCCCTTCTCAAAGGGTATCAGAGTCAGGGAATAAAAGAAGTGCTGACCATGCCAACAAGTGCTCACATCCACGAAGAGATAACAAAGCATTGCCAAAGCGAGTGTGTGGTCAAGACTGATGAGGATATTGTTACCAAGCAAATGTTGTTTAGCAAAGGGAGGAATCAAAAAAAACCTAATCTCTCACTAATGAATAATGCTCCAGTATCTATTGCTGTTACTTTATACGGCGAGACCAGAAATTGGTCGCATAAATGACAATGCCCAATTAATACTCGCACATCTTCCCAGTGGCGCCTGATATTAATCCTTAGAGACCAACAGCAGAAATAAGTCAAACTCATCGAGTATCAGACAATTAATCAAATGAAATAGCAAACCTTGCAACGTTTGAATTCTGTACTGTGGTACAAGAGCCTCTGCGGGTTATAATTGAAGAGCCAAACACCGTGTAATATTATGCTAACTGACAGCAAGATTAATTATTGTATATTGTATCATTTAATGACCCTCATGCTATTGAGGAGATGTTCAACAGCAGACACACTGCCCGTCCGTTTGAGTACATGGGTCGGTTTAACCCTTTCCCAAAAGAAATCTAAGACTAGTCCTTAGCACTATATATACATTACATACACTTACCAGCACAGAAACAGGCCATTCAGCCCAACTGGTTTATTCTGGTACAAAAACAGAAATCGCTGGAAAAGCTCAGCAGGTCTGGCAGCATCCATGGAGCGAAATCAGACTTAATGTTTCGGGTCCAGTGACCCTTCTTCAGAACCTAGTGCTAAAGCTTAGTTCACCTCCTCCAGGCCAATAAGGGATAGGCAATAAAAGCTGGTCTAGCCACATCTCATGACCAAAAACAAGTCATCGTAAATCTGTATCAACCGCTAACAGGCTCTTCCTCTGCTAGGATGAGTCTTACCCTCTTCACTCCATCCAAACCCTTATCATTTTGAGAATTTTGATGAAACCTCCCATTCACCTTCTCACCCAGAAAGTCAGCAAACCCTGCCTCTCTAGCATTTCCACACCAAGGTCAAGAAGAAACCTAAAAGAACTGAAAATAGGCACATGTGAAAGTTTGCCATTTGGAGTTGCTGTAATGTGTGTTGCAGTACTCACATGATGGCCCCGACGGGTTTTTCAATGCGAGGTGAGGTACATCCCAGAATTTCTCCTGGCGACAGTGGTTTACACTGCGGGACGCACACATCGTATTCTGATTGCAGTTCCTGGCTGGTGGACTGCAGAAAGAAGGTAGAGAGTCAGGCAGACAATAAAAAGACAGTGCAAGGCAAACAGCATTTGAGAACTAATGAGGGATAAGCCATCGAATGAGACATAAGTTACAGTCAAACCTCATTAGCCCTTTCCCACTGGGAGCAGCTGAAAATGGGTCATCAATGCCAATTCCCATAATACCCAGGGACTGCTTCCAGCATTGCACTTGATATTCCCTAAATTTTACAGTTAATTAGGAAGCGATTCTTTATTTTTCTCGTCACCCTTCAGTAACGCCTTACTTAATGATCATTAAAGTGGGAGAGGATTCTTCTTCAATAAAACTGTTGTTGATAGCAATGCAGGGCATATTTACGATGCCTTTGTATTTAAGGTGCTATCAGCAGACAGGGTAAAAAAAACAACTGAGCCAACATCAGCTTTTAGCAAAATTTTAGAGGTTTTCTTTCTTTGATTGCCCATCTCTAATCGCCCTTGAACTGAGTGGCTTGGTCAGGCATTTCAGGCGATGGTTAAAAGTCAATTACAGGGCTGTGGGTCTGAAGTCACATACAGGGCCAGAGCAGGTAAAGGCAGTAGAATTCCTTCCTTAAAGATTCCTTCTCTAAATTAGTGATGGATTATTACGGTAAGTTCAAAGTTGCAGTGGCAGGTAGGGAGTGTTTGGGCTTCTGTCTGCTCCTGATCATCAGGCTGGCCGCGTCCTTCTTTCTTTTGTTTTATTTCTTCGTGTATGTTCCATAATCAAACTTCATCTTCCTTCTGCGGTTACAGTGGATGAAGGCGGTTGCGAGGGGGCTGTTGCAGCAGGTGTGGAGTAATGGATTCGGTCTGCTCTGCCTGGCCACAGTTTTGGTGTCGGTGACTTGGCTGGTCAGGTCCATTGCTCCTGGTTGAGGCGGCAATGCGGTGCCGTCAGCGGAGGCTACAGTGGTGGCGGCGTTGTGGTGGCTCTGGCCCGTTTCTCTCCTCTATGGTGGCAATGCGGTAGCTTTGGCCAATGGCTGTGAGGGTCCAACCTGGGAGTTCTTTCGGACGTGGCGAGTCAGCTGCTGCAGCAGTGGGTGGCATCGTAGGGCTGGTCCATTCTTCCTCGCTATGGCAACCTCAGCAATGGCTTTGGTGACGGCTTCCCACAGTCCCTTCAGAAACCCAGGAGACGTGATGGGAACAAAAGATGAACTCTGGCTCCACATTTGGACATCTCTGACTCCAGCATCTGCAGTTCTTGCTATCTCAAAAGGTGAACTTTGCCGTAATTATTTCTTTTTTTATATTTTCTGTGATTAAAATGGCACCAGAATATGGAGACTTAAACACTTCTTCACTGAATTTTCCTAAATACAAATAACAATAAGTTTCTATTCTACTCTAGTCGAATCAATGATAGTTTCAGAGTCACTATTACTGAGATTAGCTTTCAATTTGAAAGGGGGACAAGGGACAGTATATGGTTTCTACACTTACAGTTTGATATGAACATGTTATGATATGATTGGACATTATAATCATGTGTACTAGCCTGGAATGTAGACTATGAGAACACAATTGGATGGAGATATTGGTGAGTAAGTGTGTAACCTTTTGATCAGAAACTTGTTACCTCTAGAAATAGTTAAAAAAACACATTTTTATTGTAAAGTTTGAGTTCACTGCCCATGTATGCATGAATAAACATTTAAATAAAGAAACCTGAGTCTTGTCTGAAAAAGGGTTTAAAGGGTTAAGTTCCTGCTTTCAAATTCCAGATTGTATCAACCAAATTTAAATTCCACTAGCCACAGTGATTGAGGATCTGTGACCCCAGAGCATTAACTGTTATACACACGTTAAATCAACTACTGGCAGGAGCAGGAAGGCAACGGAGGCCAGTCACCTGTGGAAAGACAGTGGGCCATTGATAATTTCAATAGGCTGGTAATCCAGGCTAATGTTAGAGATTGTAATGTTTCTGGCAGGGTCAATGTTGGACAATGCACCAGACTTCCACCAATCTCATACATGAAGTCATACAGTCTCGGGTACAGTATCCTATGTCCAGCTCGAGATCCCAATGGGGTCAGACATGTCAGCCCTGGCCCTGTCTCAGTCTGTTTTGGGACTTTTTTTTAAAGAGTCAACCACATTGCTGTGCATCTGGAATCCCATGTAGGCTAGATCAGCGCATGTGGGACAGCAGAAACCTTTCCCGGAACTACATTGGTGAACCAGATGGGTCTTTACAACAATTGACATTAAAGCATAAGAAATCGGGAAGGGAGGGAGTTGGCCATTCAGCCCCTCAAGCCTTCCTCACCATTCTATAAGATCATGGGCTGTTACGCCTCAGGCCTCAAATCTTCTTTTATGCTAGGTTCTCATAGCCTTAACTCCTCGATATTTCGTAAATCTATTTCCTCTTTAAATGCCTTCAGTAATTTAACCTGCATTACCACGTAGGGTAGAAAATTCCAGACATTCACTAGTCTGAGAAAGAAGAAATTCCGTCGCATCTCAGTCTTAAATAAGTGTCCCCTTACTCTGTAACTATGTCCCCTCGATGAGACACCCCCTCACGAGTGGAAACATCTTCGCAACATCTACCCTGTCAGTCCCCTCAGAATTGTTAGTTTCAATAAGATCACCCTCATTCTTCTAATCTCTACCGAATTCAGGCCTAACTTGTTTAACTATTCTTGGTAAGTGAACCCCTTCATCCCAGGAATCAGCCTACTGAATCCCTTTTGATCTGCCTCCAATACTAGTACATTCTTTCTTAAATTCATGGACCAAAAATGTTCCAAGTAGACCAGGTGTAGCCTCACTAACACCCTCTATGGTTGTCACAAGACTTCCCTGTTTTTAAACTCCATCCCTTCACAACGAAGGCCAAAATTCCATTTGTTTCCTGAATTACTTGCTGCATCCACATGCTAAGTTTTTGTGTTAAATTCACAAGAACACTCAGATCCCTCTGTTCTGCACCTTTCTTGGATTTAAATAATGGTTTGCCTTTTGATTCTTCCTACCTTACACTTTCTACATTTTAAACTGCATCTCCCAAGTTTTTTGCCCACTCACTCAACCTATCTATATCCCTTTGTTTGTGATCTCTACACAATATGCCCTTCTCCGCCTATTTTCGTATCATCTCCCTCCTTCAAGTCACATAGATAGTAAATAATTGAGTTCCCAGCAATGACCATTGTGGCACTCCACTTATTACATCTTTCCAACCTGAAAAAAAATCCCATTAATCCCGACTCTCTATTTTCTGTGTGTGAACCAATCCTCGGTACATGCCAGTACATTGCCCCCAAACTGGTGGAGTGTGCAGCAGGTCAGCATCATTATGAAAGAGACCAGGAGAGTGCAGTTGTATGAGAAAGGCAGCAGTGGTGGGAGATAAAAATCAGAGAGCTCCTTCAACCTGTTTTACCTCTCACAAACCAAGTGTTACATTACAGGAAAACAGGTACACGAAGGTGGGTTGATGGGTATTTCCTCTGTTTTCTTTCAATTGGCTTAAATCAGGAGGCGTTATTATTGCTGAAGAGTATGGTTAAGAAATTCACTTTTAAAGTACTCAACATCAAAATGAATTAATTAAGCAGAACAGAGATAGATGGCAGGGCAACTGATGTGATGCATCTGTAGTATGTGGGAGCTGGTGGAAGCCAGTGTGATCCACGATGACCAACCACATCCTGCAGCAAGTTATCATAGAATCCCTACAGTGTGGAAATTGGCCCTTCGGCCCAACAAGTCCACACCGACCCATTCCCCTACAACCCACCTAATCTACAAATCCCTGGGCACTATGGGTAATTTAGCATGGCCAATCCACCTAGACTGCACATCTTTGGACTGTGGGAGGAAACCGGAGCACCCGGAGGAAACCCATGCAGACACAGGGAGAATGTGCAAACTCCACACAGACAGTCGCCCAAGGGTGGAATCGAACCCAGGTCCCTGGCGCTGTGAGGCACATCAGAGAGAGGGAGAGATACCTGGGCGCTGTGTTTCAGAAAGCAGTCACACACACTCCTTAAGTTAATGACATCAAATTTGATCCATGGTCAAGCACAGGAGTGTGACTATGTATGAGGCAGGTTCATGCGGATCCAGAATTTAGCCGAGAAGGAACCTCAGCCAATGCCCTTGCCAAATAGGGATGAGGCTCTTGCTTATGAATGAGGGCACAGGTAGCAGGTTGGATAAGCAAATTCACTAAAGAACCTTGGTACTGAATGCATTCTGGTGGGCAGAAAGAAATATAGCAGTGATAGGGGATAGTGTAGCTATAGGAATTGATTCTGTTCTGTCTACATTGCTGACCTGAAACCAGGGTTAAGGACAATACTTCCAGGCTGGATTGGAATTTAAGTGCGAGGAGAAGGATCCACTTATTGTGGTACACACAGGTACCAATGACATAGGGAGGGCTAAAAAAGAGGTCCTGCTGAGGGATTAAGAGCTAAATGAAAAGGCAAAACCACAAAATTAGGAAGTATCTGAGACTCATGCAAATTGACCTATGATAAATAGAATTGGAGGATGAACGTGAGAGTCAGAAATTTGTGTAGGAGAAATTGGGTCCGAATCAAGGGGAACAGGCACTAATTCTGGGGAAACATAGAAAATAGGAGCAGGAGTAGGCCATTCAAGCCTGCTCCGCCATTCAAATTGATCATGGCTGATCATCCACCTCAGTTCCCTGTTTCCACTTTCTCCTTTGATCGCGTTAGCCCTAAGAACTATATCCAACTATTTCTTGAAAACATTGAATGTTTTGGCCTCAACCGCTTTCTGTGGCAGAGAATTCCACAGGCTCTCTGGGTGAAGAAATATCTCATCTCTTGTCCTAAATGGTTTACTCTTGCGCTTAGACTGTGACCTCTGGTTCTGGACTCTCCCATGTTTAGGAAAATCCTTCCTGCATTAACCTTGTCTAGTCCTGTTAGAATTTTACAGGTTTCAATGAGATTTCCTTCATTCTTCTAAACACAATCCAGTCTTTCTT